TTTAAATGAACAAAACTAAACCGCCTACAGTATTTTTACAGTCTTTATTTTACAGTTAAAATAAATGTTTATCAAATAAAGTTAAATGTTACAACTAATGGTGGATCCCTTTAAAAAGTCCCAATTTGATGTCACTTCCTGATTCACTTTGGCCAAGCCAAGTTCAAAAGGAACATCTGTTATGTGACAAAATGGGTAAAATTGTGTGCATTATGTAAAGTTTCTTCAATATAAAGATGTTTTCTTTGACTTTTTGTATTTGAAGGATATGCATGTCACAGGCACTTTACGACTTTAAGAGTCTTTAAGATTCTGGTTTCAGCCACAATCACCTCCCAAACACATCTAATCTAAACTAATTTATGCGTTAGAAATATGGTTTTACTTGATACCTTTTTTTATTTTAGGGATTTAACTGAACAACTTGTAAAATATGTGAGACCATCATCAACGTTAAAGAAAGATCTTTCCTGTTAGCAGAAACCAAGTTAATGTAAATTAAATCAGWAAAAAACAATGTGTTTTTTATGCAACAACAAATTTGAAATACGCAGTGAGAATAAAACGGCTCGTCATGCCTCAGAGCACATTTGATTCATGGCTCTTCCCAGGCTCACCCCTAAACCCTGCTCCATTATCCCCACCCCCACACACACACACACACACACATGTTTGGTTTTCTATTTCTGTGGAGACCTTGCATTGTCTTCCATTCATTTTCCAGTCATTTCTATTGACTAACCCTGACCCTATACTCTAAAATTAACCACCCCAGTTCATAGCTGACCCTAAATCCAGACTAAACTCAGTTCACATCTTGGTCCTTTACCTAAACCCCCACCCACCCAAAATCAGCATCCATACCTGAAGAGCATTGGGTCCCTACAAGACTGTGTTTTTCTGGGAAATGGTCCCCACAATGTAACAAATGTGTCCACACACACACACACTTTTTTTTTCTAGTGCTGATGGCTGTTACCTTCAGGTTGTGTCTGTATGCAGCATCCAGCACAGCTGGTACCAGATCCTCAGCGGGTTCCCCGTTGTCATCAGCCAGGCCGGGAGGATACCAGGACAGAACCAGAACCCCTGGAAGCACAGACACTCATCAGCCTGGAACTCTGTCCAGACTAACACAGTGTTTTTTTTATGTTTTGTCAACTCCTTTTGAAAAAAAAAAGAGTGTGTCGTCTTGGGAACGTAAGCTGAAAATCAATACGCTCAGCGTTTTTCTGCCTCTCTTTTTATGAACAGACTAAAGCTACCGGAGTAACCGCTATTAAATTTATGTTCACCACAAACGTGTGGCAGGGAATAAGTCATCCTCTCAAGTGAAAGTGTTCAGAGTTTGGCTGGCTGTTGCCTCTAATTAAATGGATTGTTTTAGCGAAACATTGTGAGCCAGCCCTCCCGTCATMCATCTGTTAAAGGGATGAGGTTTCCGAGGACTGGATGGTGGTGCTCATCATTCCGGATGGTGTACGATAACCCAGTGAGCTGCAGGATCCAAACGTCAGGGCCTATCATGTGTAGGCTGCGGATGCCTGCCACAGTCGCTTCTGTTATTTGACACCAGGCGGTAAAACTCCGGCTGCTGTTTAGAGCCAGGGAGGAGTTACTGTATTTATTTATTTATTTATTTATTTATTTATTTTATCATGGATACCTTTTAAAGACGTTGTGATGCTTAGGTTTACACAAAGATGACAGTAAGTGTTGGCCTGTATGTTTGACAGTCTGACAGTACTTCTAATAATTATAGGAATGCGTTGTCTTATTTAGTCAGATCTTGAAAATAAAGTTGTGCACAATATCACATTATGCTCAGGGCATGTGTTGAGAATGACTCCCAGCTACTACCACGTCAAATTTTAGCTATAGATGTCTTAACAACTGACTGAATTATAAATATTTTTGTGTTGGCAAGAACTGATTATTGGTAGCCATCTTGATATGGAGACTTTAAAAGTTAATCAGTTATCAAATGATTACTTTCTGCAAGTTTTATTAAAATAAGTCCAATGATTGATGTGATATTCTGCTAACAGAGTTGACAGCTACAGTTTTACAGTGATTGTATGCAATGTGCTTAGAGCTGGCGATGACTCTCAGCTACTACTATATCAGATTTCAGCTCAATGATTGAAAAACTGGCTGGGTTTTATAGCCATGTTTGGGTTTTCYACGGTAAGTTGATTGGAGCATTCATTCTGAATGGGATTAGTTTCAAAAGTGAATCAGTCGTAAAGGGAAATGCAACCATTATCTTGTGAAAGTTTAATTGTAATCTAATCACGTTTTCGTAGGATATTTTGCTAACGGACAGAGTTGACTCCAAGTAGTTAATGTTAAATTTTTAAACTACGATTTTGTGCAGTCAGTTGGTTCTCAAAATATGTGTCGGGGGTGAGTCTCAGCTACTGCCACCTGAAATTTTGGCAAAATTTCTGTAAAATTGACAGATTTCTATCCATTTATCAGTTAGCCGTGGCGGCCATATTGAATCAAGTTGACCCCAAAAACTGAACAGTTGTAGATTTACACCCAATAATTACTTTCTGCAAGTTTTATTTAAACTTTTGTTCGATATTTTTGGTAATAAGCAGGTCTGTTCAAACCCAGCTGTAAAAGAAGTGCAGCTGTGGACACGGGCAGGTTCTGTTCTGAGGAGCTGTCCTCTCATGTGTGGTGCTGAAAATGTGCAGCGACCCTCCAGCTGAAAACGGAAGCAGCTTTTGCTCAAACCCAGTGAATCTGCTGGGCAGGGAAAAAAGCAACACTCAGCTGTTTTTACTCCAGAACCTCTACCTGCTGCGGATGTTCCGATCTGCTCCATGTGGGACTCCAACACGTCCGGATCCCGGGAGCTGTACGGGTTCAGCTCCGGGTAGAAACTGGAGCCGATGTCCTCGGGCGGCACGTGTCTCCCCCTCGGGTAGCTGGACGAGACTTTGGGGTCCCAGTGCGGGACTAGGATGTGGTCCCAGTGGATGTACTTCCCGTCCATGTGCGGGCTGCCGTACCAGGTGTAGTAAAAGATATGGACGTCATAAAACACGGTGCCCTCCGGACCGGAGATGGACAGGGCGGCTTTGGTGTTGCTRCCGGGAGGGTGGGCTTGGACCGGGGACTCGGACACGGAGCGCCGGTTCCCCTTCCCTCCTAAGATTGGCAGGAGGTCCAACCCTGGAGCCAGATCCGAGAAACCGTCGCTGGGTTTCAGGGTCCTCAGTCCCATTAAAGTTCCGAAGATGAAGAGGGTGAAAAGAAACAGCGCGACGCAAGCCTTCCTGCGCAGCCTGGCCATGATGCTGCTTGGTCCTGCTCTTGGACTGAGAAGTGAAGCGCTGTCTTTAAGGCTCCCGCATAACATCTAAAAATATAAATTATTTAATTAAATAAAACAACTGCACGTTCCGGGGAAGTCGCAGCAGACATCCAGGGGCAGCTGCTTGTGCAGATTCTAACTTTCTTCTGCTGCTTTCATCGCGCATGTTTGCAGAGCTGGTGCAACAGAAACTTTGGATCCAGAAGAATAAAATATCCAAACGGCAGATCGATCACCTTTAAGAATGATGGATCACTTCCCTCTGAACTCCTGCAAACATTCTGCCCCAGGCAGAGGCAGCTCCGTCCTCACCCGAAACAGGACGAGCGGCGTACGRACAGCTGCGGCGACGCTCTCCGGTATGAGTTCTATGACGTGCGAAACGTGTCATGGCTTACCCTCAGATGTTGGTTTGTATGAGATATGAAACGTGCCACAGATTAGAAATCAACCAACCGTGAAGGCATTTGCACACCCATAGAGACCAGTAGGCCTATGATTTCWATGTATTCCCATTGTAAAATAAGTCACAATGAGGTTCACAACAGCGCTATGTTTTGTTTACAAGAGTGCAAGCTTGAAAACTCAATGTTTATTGGTTTAAAATGATGTCATGAGGAATTCCAACATTCTAGTTAAAATGGGTATTCCCCAAAGTTTCACAACAATTTGACTCCTTATATGAAGGGATTTCCCTACATGACAGGAAGTGAAAGAAATAGTCGATTTGAAAATAAATTATTGCAAATGTGTTAGAAAACTACGATTTTAAAGATATATTAGGAAGATTATATGCTATGGATGATACTTGACATTTCTATGCAAGTTTCAATTATGGCTATATTACTAATTTTGCACTACAGTAAATACTAATTTGAATTCATTTTGCCGTCATGTCACATTTGGGTGGAGTGTTACATTTCTAAGGCTAACCAGGCACAGGAAAAGGCCCAACGTACCACAGAGGTAATATGGCCCAGCTTTGGAAATCTGCTTAGCATTTTTTAATGTTAAATAATTGTTAACATTTATCTACGGGGCAACATGTTTCTACATCTAATGAGTAAATGTCACATAAGAGTCTCTTTTGGCCGCTAGTCTGTGGCACTTTCTACATCTCATACATTAAAGGGATCCCCGATTAGTTGTAACATTAGACTTTATATGACAAATATAAACTTTAACTGTAAAATAAAGACTGTAAAAATACTGTAGGCTGTTCAGTTTTATCATTTTTAAACTAAAAGTTTTAAAATATATTACACGGACATGGCCATTTTATTTACACGCAAAGCATTCTGGGTAAATGATGACATCAACTAGGTCATCGATGAGAGGCTGCTAGTGAGCTATATCCACCCTGAAGGTTAATCTTGGACAATATCTGATGATCGACTCTTTTAAATGAAACCAGAGAGCGTTGACAGAGAGGAGAAGGTAGAAATGACTCAGCCTGGAACTGAAAATATGGATGGAGGACCTCAGTTTAGCTTGTTAGCCTTTGCGCTAGCGCTCATGCTATATTGCCTTATATGTATTAGCTTGGTGCTAGTGCGACAAACAAGCTAAACTGAGGTCCTCCATCTATATATTCAGTTCCAGGCTGAGTCATTTCTACCTTCTCCTCTCTGT